TTTACCACTTAATTGATTTAATTGTCAGAGTGCTCATGACCACTTCCACCATCATCGAAAAATGTCATAAATGACTAATAGTGTACTCCAAGTGCGCAAGGAGGAGCTTACATGAAGCTATTTTTTGTTGGCCACGTGTCAAATCCATTTTTCGGGGTCAATAGATTCAAAAAATAGACCTAACACGTGGTCAACAATAAAAATCAATATAATAATTTTTTTAAACTGATAACTTACTAGTACATCCATTTCGAAATGAAGTTTGAGGATGCGATCGCAAAATTACAAAAATAATGAGGTTTTCATAAAATGAATAATTTATAGCGGAGTGTAGTTATTTTCTAGCGAGGTAATCCTTAGTCAAGTAAAAAAAAAAATCTCTTAGGCCCCTGCATTGATAATTCTTACCTTTTTTTCCCAACCACCTTCTGACTTGATGGGCCGTCCCTTTGGTTCGATAATTGAATTTTGGCTCTTCATGCTTTCCCAACCCAAGGTTCTGGCTTAAAATCTTTTTTTAGGTAGCCAAACATGTCCTCAAGCTCTTTCCTTGAAGTCGAATGTTCTTGGTAAACTTAGTCAATGTCGTACTAAAAGAATGTTTATACTTGTACAACTCACATGCTACTCGCTACAACTTTCTCCAACTTCATTATTCTACTGTAGGATAGTCTTCTTCTTTGCTAGCTCCTGGCCTTATTTGTTTTGGAATTTTCAAGATTATTTTACTCAAGATAAATATATGTATGTAATATTGATCTCCTCCTCTCCTTTTGTATAGTCTTCACCTAATTGATTCAATTTATTATAGGACCGTTAAATGTTTTCTTTCATTATTCTGATTAAATAATTATTAATATTGATTCTTACTTGTGATACATCTCGTAATTTTGATCTTGAAGCGTTTGTAGTGATAGGCTCGACTGGAGGAGGCCCATTAAAATTTTCATGCATAGACACTAAAAATAAAAAATGACATACCTTAGATTCGTTGTAAACGAAGATGAACCTATGTCAATTTTTTCCTACAGACAGAACAAAGAAGAATGAATTAATTGAAAGTCTTCTTTACTACTAGAAAAAATCTAGATATTTCAACCATTTATTATTATTATTATTATTATTATTATTATCATAGGAAAAAAAAAGAAAAAAAATTATTAACCAAACCAGCTCAAAAGAGGGTCAAGTGTGAAAACTAATGAGACAAAAAATGAATAGTGAATCAAGGTTTATCTCATTTATTAAGAGTGAAAAAATTTAGATATTTCAACCATTTATTGCTACTATATTATATATAGACACGAAAAAAAAAAAATTAAAATTATTACCTCGATTAGTGAATTCAGGCCAAGGTATGTTGATGGATAAAACTTCACATCGATTAAAGTGAAAATATGGACCAATTTATAAGAATTTGACATACCCCTCTTAATAATATTGACATTTTAAAATATAACTTTAAATCTTAATATGGTATTAGAGCTCATTAAACTCTAATGAACGATTCGATCCGATCCGATCAAAACTAAAAAATGAACATACGAATTTCAAAATTGATCTGCTCAAATGAATCACCATCTTGTGGGGACATGTTAAAAGTATAAAATCCTACATCAATTAAAAATGAAAACATAAACCAATTTATAAGGGTTGTACCCCTTCTTTTAATAAAGTTGACATTTTAAGAAGGAACTCCAAATCTTTACAAAGTAGATAATAAACTTACCTAGATGATATACAAGATATGGTTTTTAATCCTGGTTATGAATTTAGATCTACTGCACGAATCCTTTGTTATTAGTTGGTCCTTTTTATTGCTAAAACTAGTGGCCGATCCAAAGCAAGAAGATCAAACAATACTTTTTTTCTTTTTTTTTTCTTTTTTCTTTTATTCCCTTTCTGCTGCCCACGCTAAGTCGCTAAGGGGAGCCGTCTCACAGTAATTTATGAAGCCCGTTTATACCCACACTCACATGCACGGATTTCATTCTCTGAAGTGTGAATTGTGTTTCTTTCACGACTTTGACTACTGTTTCTATTGACATTACTCATTGTTGTATCCATGGTGAAAGTTGGTAATTTGTAATTGAATTATCTCAGCGATAATTACTTTGTAATTTCTACTGCAGGGTAAATTGAAAAACAAAGAACAGTATTACCTTAGAGATGGTTTTGCTTCGATAATTGCATTTCTAAGTGCTTTCCAGTCTCCTTCGTGGAAGGATATTTTTCAAGGATGATAGAGTCCATGTGCTTAATCTGGATTGTTAGGTTTGCAGAGGAAAATATGAAAAAGAAGAACTTTAAAATAAATAAAAGACTGTTTATGACTTCACTAAAGAGTAATGATATTTGATGTTTAAACTGCATTGTAGATCAACAAGAAGCAACTGCCCAAAAGCTTTTCATAAAAAGAAAGGAATAATTTTTAGTAAATATAACTATTTTCCAGTGCTTAGTCCCCTAAAAAAAATAATTAGCTTAGAGATGTTTTGGCCCTTTTGTTCAATAATTGCATTGACAATTCTTAGTGCTTTCCGACCTCCACCGACTTGATGGGCCCTCCCTTTGGTTCAATAATTGAATTTTGTTCCTAATTTCCTTCCATGAAGGTTCTTGGTAAAACCCCCATTTGCCCCTATTATTTCAAAATTTAATGGGTGAAATAACATATTTTTTTGGAGAATAGGAAGTTAAAAAAGAAGAAAAAGTTTTCGATTTACGTATAATATAATTTTATGAAAGATTGTGTGATTAAAGAAAAAAATAATAATAATCTACAGCTTTCTCCCACATCTTTATTCTATTGTAGCATATTCATTCATCCTTGAAAGAAAGTTTGAGGATGTGATCGCTAAAAATATAAGAGGGGGAACCTCTTTGGTAAAAAAATACTCCCTCTGGTTCAATAATTGCATTGGTAATTTTAGCGCTTTCCAGCCTCTTTCCTTCCTAAGCTCCTTTCGGCGAAGGTTCTTGATTAGCGTTACTTTATATGCCTAGACAATTCACATTCTACTCCCTACAACTTTCTCCCACTTCATCATTCTTCTTTGCTCCTTGCTCTGTTTATTTTGGAATATCCAGATTATTCGATTCAAGGTAAGTATATTATATTGATAGCCTCCTCTCCCTGTGTTTGGATTTCACCTCATTCATATTATTATTTTATGATCTTTAAATGTTTCATTGATTAAATAATTATTAATATTTGATTCTTACTTGTTTTGATCTGGATCAATCTCTCTCCTTTGGTCCTGAAGTGTTTTGAGTGATAGACTCAATTGGAGGAGATTCGTAGTCTTCATTACTAATTTGGACTCAACTGCAACCATTTAATCTGAAACAATTCAGGTAAGTACATAACTTTTTCAATTGGCATTTTGTTAAGAATATTCTTTTTGGCTTCTTCGGTGTTATTTGTTCCCCTAAGAGAGAGTCCTATAAGCTTGCGTGATACCATTTGTTATATGTTTAACTTGTATTTATAGGTGTTTTACCATTGAAATCAATTTTTATTTTTTATTTATTATTATTATTTTTTTAAAATAGCTCCCGACGCGACCCTTTAGGTAAAAATAAGAGAGAGAAGCGTGATCCATTTTCCATAAACAAATTCTTTCAAATCCTTGTATCGTGTACTCACAACAGTCAGTATCTGTTTTTCATTGTTATCAAAATCTATCATGCTCGGTCGATTGAACCAATAAAATCAAGTCAAACGCATGCATTTCAACCTTTAAAATCCACTATTTAAAACATGTTCTAAAACCAGTGAATCTTCAATCGGAACTTGTTGAATCGATTTCTATGTTTTCAGGTTTTTGTTCAATCTTAACTCAAAAATAAGGGGCCCGTTTTGTTTGCGATTCAATTTTTAATTATGAGTTCATTTTCAGTTTTCTATTTTAATGTTCAGTTTTAAATTGTTGAAACACGTTTGATTTGTCATATATGTACATTATAAAATTGATAAATCTTACGATGTTTATTTTTTGCTACAGAAGTAAAATAAAACTAACTAATAAATTAAGTTGGCAGAATATAGAAAATTAAAAAAAAATGAAATTAATGACATGAACTGAATTTTCTATATGGGCTCTTTTATATATTTTTTAGAATTTTTATTTAAATAATTAATAAGGGTTTGAACTGTTTTTATTTTTTAATTTATCTGCCGTCCTTCCTTGACTTTCGTGGTAGAATCTACCGCTCTGGGATATTACATTTCCAAAAAAAAATTTCATTTTTCATCAATTTTTTGGAATTTTATTTCTTCAAAAAAAAATTTTGAAATTTATTTTTAACAAATTTTAGATTTTACTTTTATTTATATATATATTTTTTTAGCATTTTTGAATTTCTCTTCAATTTTTTTTAATCATTTTAGAATTTTAAACTTTATATTTTCTAGAATTTCAAAATAATAACTTTTTAAAATTATATATATATATATATTTTTTAAAAATTTTATTTTTGAATAAAATTTTATTTAAACACTTATTTTTTTATATTTTTAACATTTTCACATTAAACACTCAAATCGTCCGACGTGACCCTATTCCAACATCATTATTCAATTTATCATGCATATAGGGACCACATACCAGCAAGTTCTATTTATAGCCTGTCTCTCTCTCCCCTATAACAATTATTCAATTTATCATGTGGGACTAGTGCTACCAACAATTGGGAGGGAAACGAAATCAACTCCACCAAAATGTAGGAACACTTTGTTATAATTTATGTGAATTTTTTAAATTAATATACTACCTACAAAATAAGTATAATTTTGAATTTTACATAATTTCATTAGTACCTTTTGTATTTAGTTATTTATTTAATAATTTAATCTACTCAATTCGGTTCGACCTTTAACCCTTGATCTTTTATTTTATTTATGTCGATGTTCGGGCCAATTTTTAAAATGTTGCTCTCTCATCAATTTAAAAATATAGTATAATTCAAAGAAACACCTTAAATAAATAAATAAAAAATAATACATCATGTCATTAAAAATAGTAATAATAAAAAATGACACAAATACCTTTAACCAATATGTTTGGAAAATAAAAGAGGGGCAAAACTGACTTTGTACCATTTGGTGCAAAGATTATGCTACATAATCCTTTACACCTCCTCACATGGAGGGAGTCCCATGCATAATAAATTATATAAGAGCCCCCCCTCCATGTGAGAGGGGTGTCACCGTATGTGTACACGGAAAGTGTACATATAATACAATTCTTGGTGCAAAGTTTGGTGTCCCTTAGAGTGAGTTTGCACCGACATTGGAGTTGAACTGAACATCATTGTGACGAAGTTAAGAATTTAGAGAATATGTAAGTGGAGAATTTTTGTAATAAGCATATGGACTAGCGGTCAATTTGGACATTCTGCCCATTATTGGAGTACTGGTTATGAATTTAGATTGACTACACGAATCCTTTGTAGGAAAATGCTGCTCGACCCGGGATAAAATCCCGGGCTTGGAACTAGGGGCCAAGGTGGCAAAATCTCGGCCCCCGATGTGAATCGTGCAAGCCTCGTGTGATTGATTTTGGAATATCCATATTACTCGATTCAAGGTAAATATATGATATTGATCTCCTCCTTTCCTTTTGTTTGGGTTTCACCTCATTCATATTATTATTTTATGATCTTTAAATGTTTCATTGATTAAATAATTATTAATATTTGATTCTTACCTGTTTTGCTCTGGACCAATCTCTCTTCTTTGGCCCTGAAGTGTTTTGAGTGATAGGCTCAATTGGAGGAGATTCGTAGTCTTCATTACTAATTTGGACTCAACTACAACCATCTAATCTGAAACAATTCAGGTAAATACATACAACTTTTTCAATTAGCATTTTGTTAAGAATATTATTTTTGGCTTCTTCGAAGTTATTTGTTCCCCTTAGAGAGAGTCCTATAAGCTTGCGTGATACCATTTGTTATATGTTTAACTTGTATTTATAGGCATTTTACCATTGAAATCAAAAATTTTATTTATTTTTTATATTGATCTCCTCCTTTCCTTTTGTTTGGGTTTCACCTCATTCATATTATTATTTTATGATCTTTAAATGTTTCATTGATTAAATAATTATTAATATTTGATTCTTACCTGTTTTACTCTTGACCAATCTCTCTCCTTTGGCCCTGAAGTGTTTTGAGTGATAGGCTCAATTGGAGGAGGTTCGTAGTCTTCATTACTAATTTGGACTCAACTGCAACCATCTAATCTGAAACAATTCAGGTAAATACATACAACTTTTTCAATTAGCATTTTGTTAAGAATATTATTTTTGGCTTCTTCGAAGTTATTTGTTCCCCTTAGAGAGAGTCCTATAAGCTTGCGTGATACCATTTGTTATATGTTTAACTTGTATTTATAGGCATTTTACCATTGAAATCAAAAATTTTATTTATTTTTTAAACAGATCCCGACATCCGGCAAATCCAACCCTTTAAGTAAAAATAAGAGAGAGAAGACGCATGATCCATTTTCCATAAACGAATTCTTTCAAATCCTTGTATCGAGTATTCACAAAAGATTTTTTTTATATATATATATATATATATATATATTTTTTTTTTTAATGTATCAAAATCTATCATGCTCGGTCAATTGAACCAATAAAATAGTCGAACACATGCATTTCAACCTTGAATATCCACTATTTAAAACCTGTTATAAAATCAGTGAATCTTCAATCGGAACTTGATTGCTATGTTTTCAGGTTTTTCGAGGTCAATCTTAACTCAAAAATAAAGGGCCTGTTTCGTTTGCATTTCAATTTATAATTTTGAGTTTATTTTGAGTTTTCTATTTTAATGTTTCGGTTTAAATTTGTTGAAAACACTTTTGATTTGTCATCTATGTACATTATAAAATTGATAAATCTCTCAATGTTATTTTTTTTCTACAGAAGTAAAATAAAACTAACTAATAAATTAAGTTGGCAGAATATAGGGGGAAAAAAGAAATTAATGACATGAACTGAATTTTCTATATGTGCTCTTTTAAATATTTTTTAGAATTTTTATTGAAATAATAAAAGGGTTTGAACTGTTTTTATTTTTTAATTTTATATAATTTTCATTTTTCAACAATTTTTTGGAATTTTATTTCTTTAAAATTTTTTATTTTTTTATAATTTTATTTTTTTTAGAAATTTATTTTTAACAAAGTTTAGATTTTACTTTTTTTTTATTTTTGAATTTCTCTTCATTTTTTTAATAATTTTAGGATTTTAAACTTTATATTTTCTAGAATTTCAAAATAATATATTTTTTTTGTTTTTCAAAGTTACAAAATTTTATTTTTAAATAAAATTTTATTTAAACGCTTCTTTTTCATATTTTTGACACTTTCATTGTAAACACTCAAACCGTCTAAAATATATGTGTGTGTGTGTGTGTGTGAACGCGTGTTCAAAAAAATTAGATCAAACTAATTTTGAAAGTTTTGCAAAATTGAAAAGTGAAATAAATGCTTAACAAATTTAGCAGAGTTTTGCTAGACGAATAGGGCCTGTGGCCCGTCTGTCCAAGGGGCCGACGTGACCCTGTTCGAACAACATTATTCAATTTAGCATGCATACAGTAACCACATACCAGCAAGTTCTATTTATATCCCCTCTCTCTCCCCTATAACAATTGTTGATTTCCACGTGGGACTGGTGCTCCCAACAATTGAGAGGGAAATGAAATCAACTCCATGAAAATGTAGGAACACTTTGTTATAATTTATGTGAATTTTTTAAATTAATATACTACCTATAAAATAAGTATAATTTTGAATTTTACATAATGTCATAAATATTTTTTGATTTTATTTATTTATGTAATAATTTAATCAATTCATTTCGGTTCGACCTTTAACCCTTGATCTTTTATTTTATTTCTTTCGATGTTCGGGCCAATTTTTAAAATGTTGCTATGTTTCTCAACAATTTAAAAATATAGTATAATTCAAAGAAACACCGTAAATAAAAAATAATAATACATCATGTCATTAAATATAGTAATAATAGAAAATGGCACAAATACCCTCAACCATTATATTTGAAAAATAAAAGAGGGGTAAAATTGACTTTGCACCATTTGGTGCAAGGATTACGCTATGTGTACATAGAAGGTATACACAATCCTTTATACCTCCCTCACAGGGAGAAGGTCTCGCGCATAATAAATTATTCATGACTCCTCTCCATGTAAGAGGGGTGTCACCATATGTGTGCACGGAAAGTGTACAAATAGCACAATAGTCAATCTTCGTTCTTGCGCTCCAAATTTTCTTCAAAATGTGTTTTACTACCTCCCAATGCGTTCTGGCCGTCTCTAGACTTTCTTTGATATTTATATCTCGTGAATATTAGGTTACCGAAAGAGTTTTAATTGTATAAGGAAAGAAAATTTCGTATAAGACAAATTGCCATGCGACTGCATGGTTTTAATCCGTGCGGCCGCATGGTTATTCCATATTTCCACTTAAATTCCCTGCATCCATTCGTGCGGCCGCACGAGAGTTCTACCATGCGACCACATGGTAGACTTCAACTTCCAAAAACTTCAGTTTAGTCCCTTTACTTGAATCTTTCACTTCTAGGCCTCTTTTCTTCACTCTTTCTATTCCATCATCCCAAGGCATCATCAATTGGCATTTGGTTCAACCAATTCCTTGATTTGTTCATAGGGTCAACTTTTGGGTAATTGCACCTTGGTCCTTGAACTTTCACTTTGTGTCATTTTAGTCCTTTTTCGCGTCTTTTCTCATGTATTTCACCATGTTCATTGGTGTTCCCTACAATTCACAAATGTAACGAAATTAAGTCACAATTCAATCATTTTGCTCGTAATTAAGTCATGTTTATGACTTAAATAAGTGTGCAAAAACACACTTATCAAACCCTCCAAATTTGAACTATTGTTTGTCCTCAAACAAGATAGTGACTAAATTCTAAACAAACATGGCTTAATACCCTGCTAAGGCTCAAGATTGGACTAAGTGTTTGATTTGATGAAAATATATTAGTGCAAAAATGACATCAACCTTCACCTATTAAATGCGTACTTGACGTTTGTGTGTGAGTTCATGCCAACATATTAGGTTCATGATGGATTTGAGTCCCGACCCCGAGTGGTCAATTGTATCCTTACTCGCTCGAGAGATACACAACCCCCAAACTTATGTTTTTTTTCACTCAATTATCCCAGGATTGTATTTTAAAATTAGGAATTTACATAGCTGTAGTCTTCACCCTCTCGTAGTTTGGATTAATCCCACTATCACAAATTTACATTTCAATAAGTGAAGGCTTTCCTAAGTTTGATCGCTTCGACACTCAAGATTAAACTAGGATACTTGCCTTGCTTCAAAGGAATAGTTTCTTTAACCAAATGTCCAAGGGCTTTTCTTCATGTTATCATCTCTCTTTTCTCTAATTTTTCTGATTTTATTATTAAGCTACTCATTTTTTTTTATTTTAATCTTCTCATTTGCTTTTTATATAACCCATGTAACGAGTTTTAGACCGGTGACTCCCAAACCAGTTGGCTTTAGGGCACCAGATTTTAAACCCTTGTAGGCTTATTCACTCGAGTTATAAAGGCTCGATCTGATGACTTTCTATTAACCTCTTTCCCTCTTGCTTTCTATATGACCCTTTTAGCGAGTTTTAGGCCGGTGACTCCCAAGCCAGTTGACTTTAGGGCACCAGATTTTGAAATATTTTTACAGGCTTACTTGCTCGAGTCATAAAGGCATGAAAAGAAGTGTATTGTTCTCACAAATTTATTTTATGCCCTTATTGTTCTAGACATTTAGTTTCCAAAACTAACCCTTAATTTAAGATTTTCACCTAATCTTCACCTCACTGGTCTAGATAATCCACACAATAAAATTTATGCACGGAACCTCCTCTCATCTCAACGCTCCTTTACAATAGCTCAACCATCACCAAACTGTCTTAAGGCAGTTTACGGTTTAATTCAATAGGAGGTTATCATTCTTTTCCTATTTTATGCTCAAAATCCAATCATTTATCTAACATGTCAAGCATGAATAGTGTGCACAGATAATGTCAAATTTTGCATCAACAAGTGTCAGTTAGCATAGTTGCATCAGATCCAACGTTTTTACAATTTAAACTAGTCCAATTATAACATCATAGCTAGTAAGGTTATCAAGCCCACACAAGCATGCATGAAAAGAATTAAAGCAAAACTAAATAAAATGCATAGGTAATTTTTTTTCATTATGCACACACTGTGGAATACAGATACCGATGAACACAAATACTTAGTTAAAATTATAAAATTATGTCACCTCCCCAAACTTTGTTACTACATTGTCCTCAATGTAAAATTAACAGAAAATTAAAGATAGAATTTTACGGACAACATAAAAGGGAAAATCAAAATGTGGTAAATAATACTTCCCTTGAATCAAAATGGATGAGGTGGCGGAAAACTGGGTCCTGCTGTACCATCATCTGGCAGAGGAGGGTATCGTCCAAGGAGCTGCCGCATCATCTCACTCAGTTCCCGCATCAAGGTAGACTGTTGTGTCTGCTCGGCCTAGATAGCTCTCATGCTCTCCCAAGTTTCATTGACCCTCATTTGGATACCGTCCACCCGACCAACATACATGTTCAGCCGACCATTCATGGTATCAACCTCCCGTCGCATGACTGTAGCATGATCCCTGACATCTCTAATATAGTTCAACGCAAGGTGATTGTCTCTTTGTAAACTTCTCAATTCAATCGTCATGTTGCCAAAATCTTGAAAGAAACTGTGAAAGTCTCGGCTAATGCCTGTAGTGGTGGAGAATATCTGTCTTAGCAATTGATTATCCACGTCAGCTTGTGGTGCTGGAGCCCGTGGGTGTTCCTGATCTGAAGGGATTTGGCCTTGTTCTACCTGCTGTCTACGTCGCTCATTTTCTTGCTCTTCTCTGTGTTTTGTCTGAGCGTCAAATGTAGTTCGTTTGATCACGAGGCTGGATTTTTCAGGTAACTCCTCAAGTAAGAGGGCAACACCCGCAGCCTGACATATGCCACTAATGAGGCTCGGGAATATCAAAGTAAAGCGACGATCTCTCCAAGTTCCCAATGAGTGTAGTTGATTGTATATATGAGTAGTGAGATCAATCTTGTTGCCCTGAGCCAAGTGGTAGATGAATCCTGATGTCTGATCTGGGAATGTAGTCCTGTGTGATATGGGCTCGATATTGTGGCACATAAAGAGCCATAGAATCGCTATGGAAGGGATAAACTCAATCTGATGCCACTTGGTAGTTTCGAGGGGCCATGCATTCTCTCGCCCCATTAAAACCTCAGCCACTTCATTCCAGTGAAAGTCAATTGGGAGAGGAATCACATTCTCTATGGTAAGCTGGTAGTAATTATGAATGACCTCGGGAGAGAACATAATCCATTTTTCCTGCACCCAAGTCTGATGGAAATGCTCGGAGCCTGGCGTATCAATGTCACTGTTGAAGTTGGCGAAGAACTCTCGGCATAAAGTCTCATAGAGTGGATGTGGTCTCTCCACCAACTTTTGCCACCCACAGATCTGAACAAAGTTGACCAACTCAAAACTTGGGAAGTCATCAAGCTTAACGGGTTTTTCAGCATGTAAAGTCTAATGGCGTACGATGTTTTCATATCGTGCCACGGTAGTTGCAGTTAAGAATCGCTGAACTTCTCCCGCGAGCTCTCGAGTACAGGCTGTCCCAATGGAGGAGCCTGATTTTCTTTCCTGTGCGAAGTCCTCTGAGGAGGCATCCTGCAAAGTTTGTAAAACTACACTCATTAAGTTTAATGTGAAAAGAATACGCATGGAGTGAGAAAATAAAGTATGCATTGCACAAATCCCTCAAATGTGCTTCAAAATACATGTACTTGACGATGATGTGTAAAATGCATGAAACATGTTCCAAGCTAGTGGTAGTATCAAAGGAATGTGAAACACCAACAAAAATTAGCTCAAAACATACACTTTGATAGAAGTGACCCATGACCAAACTAGAACTTTCAGCGCCGGGCATCGCCTAGAAAACTGAAATTTTCCAGACTGAACGCTGGGCATATGAAAGTGTCCATACTATTCTAGCACATATCCAAAATTCAAGTCAAATGGATGTCGTTTGGGTTGGCAAAAAAAAACGGTGCAAAGTGGGTGAAGTGAGGTGCCGTGACGGTGCGTGCAAGTGTTGCCTACGTATAGTCAAGTTTGGTTCTTGTAATTTCCAATTCATGTGTTATGGGAATTCATTACATTACCCCACTCTCATTCATATATTACTCATGTGGATGCATAGCATGTTTACTGTGTAGTTCAAGGAATTTATTGAGTGGGTACACAAGCTCTAGCTAAACAGTACATATTGCAACCATATTCACGAACCCCTCAACTGTTATACCCCGTCACTTTAACAAACAGAGAGAGCATCAACGTTATTCACATCCCAGTTTGTATATCGAACGCGCAAATTCACCAAAATGCATAACTCATTTCACATTGACAATTGATCAAACATGTAGCATGCCATTGTATGGGATCTCTGGAATTTCAACAATTGGAGTCTAAGTCATGCCAAAATGACAGACATTTAACAATCTAGCATCTATTACTATGAGACAAGTGCCTTTCAAGTTAATGTACATAGGAATGCATCACAATATGTATTTTAATTCATCCACCGATCACATGCAATGCAAGAAGCACCATAAAACATAGAATATTCACTGTGGCATTTCATCAAACATATAGCATGCATAATGTGAAGGTATTACCAATATAGTGAATTGAAGTTTCAAATCGTTCCATAGTCCTCACAACACAATCACATCAAATCCACCCATACATGAACTAGCCCAATCTCCCTTAATTACTCAAAATTGAAATTTCAAATGTGACTTACCCTAATGACGGAACCGAGAGGGATTTAAGAACCATTACCTTGTACTTCTAGGGGTTGATTTGAGTTCAAAAATGATTTACTTTAGATGATATTGCACTTCAAAAATGATATTTGTGTGTAGTGTATGTGATTCGAACTCGACCGTGTGTAGAAATCGTGCCTTCGAATGCTTGTGGTTGTGAGAGAATTGGGAAAAAATTTGAGTGGGGATGAAGGAACCGGGCGTGGGTTAAAAACCAAGCCTGATTTTGCCATGCTGCCGCATGGCTTTAAGCTTTGCGGTCGCATGGTTCAAGTGGCTTTGGCCACTTGATTCCCGGCCTCTGTTTGTGTGGTCGCACTTTGCAGAGTGCGATCGCATGAGCCATTTTTTTTTAAGCATGCTAATAAAGAAAACGAATTTAAAAATAAAAACTTTGAAAATATATTCAATTCCCCCAAAATCACATGTTTGATTAAATTGCACATCAAAATTTGGTTTTCAAGTTAGTGGTTGACCTGACTTGTCAATGACCCCAACTTTTTCAAAGATACATTTTTAAACATTTTAGGGTATGCATAGACCATAAACTTAGTGCCCGAAACCAAATTTTTGAAATTCACAATCACGCATTGACATTTGAAATTTAAAAAAAAAAAACTTTTGCCTCGAAATGCATGAATTACACCCCCAATTACCAAAAACAACTCCGATCAACCTGAACTCGTGTGTGATGCTTAGGGACTCGTGTGGACAGTGCTTGGACTCTTTTAACATGTATGGATGATCAATGACCTAATTTTAAAAAAAAATTTAAAAATGAAATTGAAAAATTCCTAATCTGATGCAGAAAGCAAAATAAATTAAATTAAGAGGATACAGTGAGTTGCCTTCCACCCAGCGCTAGATTATAGTCGATGGCTCGACTTTTCTGCAGCTACTTTACTTTGGTGTCCCGAGTTAAACGGTGGACTTTTGGTTGGAGAAGTCACCGCCCCAGTAGTGCTTTAGCCTTTGCCCATTAACAGTGAAGGTACCTTTAGTCTCATGGCTGACTTGTATAACTCCGTATGGTAAGACTTTTGTGATAGTGTATGGACCCAGCCACCGTGACCATAGTTTTCCCGGGAACAACTTGAGTCTCGAGTTATACAGTAGTACTTGCTGCCCTACTTCGAATACTCGTCTCTGAATGTGCATGTCATGTCACTTCTTGGTTCGTTCCTCGTAGAGTTTTGAATTTTCATAAGCTTCTATTCTAAATTCATCCAACTCATTCAGTTGCAGTAGACGCTTTTCACCAGCGGCACTTAAGTCCATATTTAATTGTTTCATAGCCCAATATGCCCGGTGCTCCATTTCTATTTTGGACATTCCATTTTTGCATGTTATCGGAGATTTAGTCCATGACGACGAGCCAATTGGGATTCCTTACAACCCGGGCATTGATAATCAATTGGTGGATAACGCTCAACAACATCATCTTGGTTCGGAATTCTCTTCAAAAATGAATATTGAATTTGTGATCCCTGAGGAAGTGACGGAGTATTAAAGGCCATGGAAGCAATTTATTTGCAAGGAGCTGAAATACCAAAGTGATATGCCATTAAAAATGCATTCCATTGGAGTGACAATGCTATAGTTGCCTAGGCTGAGTATGAGTAACGCAAGAAAAAGGATTGGGGATTTATCAGCTGAATTTATTTTTGGAACATCACAAGCTTGCAAAAAGAAACCATCCAAGCGTAAGCACTTCAATCTTTGTGAAGGAGATTGGGTTTTTCGAATTGCAAAGAGGTCCAAGTATCATCCAAGAGGCTGTGGACCATTTCACGTGCTTGCAATGATCGGAAGCAAAGGCTACAATTTGGTTGATCAATGTTTGGATTCGAGGTCGAATCCTTTCGAAAAGAGAGGAGATGATGTGATTCGGCTTGGGCGCCAAACGACCAAGGATTCGATATATGTTGGAGGGAACCTAAGGACAAGATTCAAGCTTCGTTCGGGCCAACAAACCTATATAAATGCATGGTCGAGTTATGGATTTCGATATGGTGGAGTCAACGAGCCAAAGTCTAGGATTTGTATTGACGTTGAAGGCTGAAAACCAATTGAATCAAGTTGTTGGAAGAAAATCGAGTTTGGAGGAAAAACCAAGTAACCATGCGACCGCATGGTTAAAACCACCGTGCGGCCGCATGAGAGGGTGCAGGGATTTCACGGGCAACAGTCCATATGCCATGCCACAGCCAAATACATGTCGCGGTCGCATAGGTGTTTTTCGGCCAGAAAATTTTCTTTCCGTGCGAGAAGGTTTGTTTTGAGTCAAGTTCTTATTTTTGGTAACTTTAATATTATTAGGACTCTAATTTCGTGTTTTACAATATTTTAGGAGTTTATTCCTTTTTAAATTAGGTTTTATATTCTTTAGCATAAATATGAGTTTTATTATTCATTGGAACAATACTTTTATTATAAAATTAGAGAATTCTCTCTTGAAGCTTTGCTTCATTTATCTTTGTTCTTGAATGGACAAATTCGAACTTATCAAGACTAATCATCTTGTCGCGTTCAAAACATCGGCTTGAATCATTGAATTGTGTAATCAAAGAATCTTTCACGTCATCATTACCGTTGAGTTTTTTAGTTCATCTTTTATTGGTTCAAATCCATAATCCGGGTATGATTTCTTCAATCGTGTGATCAAGAGGTCCTTCACAGTAACGTTTTGTTGGGTTGCTTGGTTCACTATTTTGGGGTCAGATCCATAAACCTTGGTCATATTGGCGTTCTTAGGATTCGGTTCAATATCCTGTGGGTTCGATTGCAACCTTGCTGATCGGGTTCGCATCCAAAAACTTGTTCACGAAATATTTTCTTTCGATTTTAAACCACCGTAAGTGTACGGTTCGTTAACAAGTAATAAAGTGGATCCAATGAGTCTGAATATCGTCCCACAGCAATTGATAAGTTCAACTTGCCCGTTGATTTGTAGATGATATGGAGTAGCGACACGGTGTTTAACGCCATATTTATTCAACAGCTACTCAAAGTGGCGATTATAGAAGTGTTTGCCCCCGTCATTGATTATAGCTCGCGGT